GAAAGACCTCCTGCCCAGTTTATGTCAACTGGGACGTACTGGGAGTGGTACTGGGCTGCACTGGGCGGGCCTGCAGCGGCGCTGGGGCTGTACTGGGATGAACAGGGAGGGACTGGAGGGGTTCAATGAGCTGTTCCCGCCTCTGCCTCCTCCCATTGGCTGAAGCTCCCGCCAATCACCGGCTGCAGCCAATCAGCACCCGGAAACAGGACCTGGGGGTGGGGCCTGGAGTAGGCGCCATTTTAGAGCTGTTTAGACTACAACTCCCGCCATGCACCGCGGCCCCATAGACAGTAATGGAGCCGGGACTACAAATCCCGTCAGGCCCCACGGAGCGCTCGTTATCCGCCTCCGTGTGCCCCATTGGCGCCCCCAGACCCTGCGGGAACCTCGAGTGCCCTCCGAGAGCCCACCCGGGACCCCCAAACGCCACACACCACACAGAGGCTGCCTGACACCGCTTTCGGGACTACAGGTCCCGTCATGCCCCGCGCCCCATCGAGCCTCATCACAGCTGGGCCTACAACTCCCATCATCCCTCGCGGCCACAGAGCCTCTCATGACCGAGCTCCGGCCCTAGGACTCCCGTCACGTCCCGCGCCCCAGAGAGATCCCTCAGCGCTCCCCAGGTGTCCCCCAAGGACTCCCGACCCCGCAGAACCCCCTCAGGTCCCGTTCCTAACCCCCAAGCACTCCGCCAGTTACTTCCGGGACTACATCTCCCATCATGCCCCGCGGTGCCCGTAGCGCGCCATTACCGCCGTGCTTCTATCTCCCGTCATGCCCTGCTGAAGCAGCGCCTCCATCTCCCGTCATGCCCCACGGCTCCATGGAGCCTCACTAAAGCAGCGCCTACAACGCCCATGATCCCCCGCGCCCCATAGAGCACCGTTATATCCGCGCCTACAACTCCCATCAACCCCCGCGCCCCACAGACTCCCGTTCGATCCCCACCCCCAGACCCAAAAAATCTCCAAAAACAGGAAAAAAAACCCCCCAATTAATTTGAACACCAAAACTCAAGAGCCTCTCGACAGCCCAACCCTTTAATAATTAAAATTTTTCCTCAGTTTAAAAACTTCCTTCCGTCCCATTTCAGCTCAGTTCATTCGCATCTCGATTTGATTTGATTCCGCCGCCTTCCTCCCCTCAGGGGCTTTTCGGGGTCTCTCACGGCGTGAGGATCTCGGGGCCCTCCTGGGGCTCCGGGGGGATTTTTGGGGTCGCTCAAAGCAGGGTCCGGCCTCGCTGCGTCAGTAAAACCCCGAAGCGGCGCTTGAGGGCCAGGCGGTGCCGGGAGAATTTATCATCGGGGGAGAAGCGGGCGGGATGGGCCGAGCGCGTGGGGACCCCGGCCGGGGACACCTTCTGTGGGGACGGCGCGTCAGGGGAGCCCAGAACCCCACAAAAACCCCAAAACCCGCCCACGGGACACGCAGAAACCCGAAATCCCCCCTCAGGACACTTAGAATCCCGAAATCTCCGCAATAATCCCTTCAGGACACCCGAACTGCCGAAATCCCCCCTCACAACACCCGAACTCCCAAAACCCGCCCCCAGGGCACCCAGAATCCCGAAATCCCACAACATTCCCCCCTCAGGACACCCAAATTCCCATTTTTGGACCCAAATTCTCCCTTTCTGGACCCAAATTCCCCTTTTTGGGTCCAATATTCCCATCTGAGCACCCAAATTCCTCCTTTTTGGATCCAAACTCTCCTTTTTTGGGCCCCAATTCTCCCTTTTTGCACCCAAATTCACCTTTTCTGGACCCAAATTCTGCCGGTTTTGAGCCCAAATTCCCATTTTTGGAACCAAATTCTCCCTTTTTGATCTCAAACTTTCCCTTCCTTGACCCAAATTCCCCTTTTTCAGTCCCAAATCCTCCCTTTTTGGACACGAATTCCCCTTTTTTGGATCCAAACCTCCCACCTGAGCGCCCAAATTTCCATTTTAGCCACAAAGTCTCCCTTTTTTCAGGCAAATCCCCCTTTTTGAGCCCAAATTTTCCCTTCCCGGACCCAATTTTCTCTTTTTTCGGCCCCAATTCTCCCTTTTTTTAGCCCAAATTCCCATTTTTTGGACTCCAAGTCTCCCTTTTTTAGTCCAAATTCCCCTTTGTGAGCGCAAACCTTCCCTTTTTGAACCCAAATTCCCCCTTTTTAGGCCAAATTCTCCCTTTTGCACACCAATTCTCCTTTTTTGGGTCCAAACCTCCCCTGAGTACCCAAATTCCCCTTTTTTGGGCACAAAATTTCCCTTTTTTGGACCAAAATTCCCCTTTTTGGGTCCAAACTTCCCATCCCCAATCTCCCTCAGGACACCCAAACTCCCTCGTACCGATCCCAAACCGCACCCCGTGCACCAAAACACCGCGGATCCCCTCAGATCCTTCCCCAGATCCCCTCCGAACGTTCCCAAATCGCCCCAAAATCACCCCAAAATCGCCCCGTACCCGCAGGGTGTAAACGCGCTCCCCGCGCTCGTTCTGGTAACACTGCAGGAACATGGCGGCGCCGACGGGAAACGAGGCCGGAAGTAGCCTCAGGCTAAAAGGGAAAGGGGGCGGGGTTTGTACAGGAAGTTGGCGAGGAGGATTATGGGAAATGTAGTCTCGGAAGGGAGCGGGGACTACAGCTCAACCCAGGGCATCCAATGGGAGCCGAGAGGGGAAATCTGGGGGACAAAGGGAAATTTTGGGGAAAAATAGTAATAATTATACAAATAATGAGCCATAATTATACAAATAGCAATAATTATCAAATTAGAAATAATTATAAAAATGGCAATAATTATAGAAATAGTAATAATTATAAAATAGTAATAATTATTAAATAGCAATAATTATAAAATATCAATAATTATTAAATAGCAATTATTATCAAATAAAAAGCAATAATTTTTAAAATAGTAATAATTATAAATTAGCAATAATTTTAGAATATTAATAATCATAAATAGCAATAATTAAAATACTAATAATTATAAATAGCAATAATTAAAATATATTAATAATTATAAAAAGCAATAATTAAACATATTAATAATTATAAAAAGCAATAATTAAACATATTAATAATTACAATTTAGCAATAATTTTTAGAATATTAATAATAATAAATAGCAACAATTAAAAATATTAATAATGATAGAGATCAATAATTTAAAATATTAATAATTATAAATTAGCAATAATTTTTAAATATTAATATTATTAACTAGCAATAATTAAATGTTTTTATCATTTTTCCTTTTCTCTGTTTCATCATTTTCTGCTTTCATCCTGTGGGTTGAGGACAAAAAATGGAATTTGGGTCAAAAAGGGGAATTTGGGACAAAAAAATGGGAATTTGGGCCAAAAAAAGAGGGAATTTGGGACACAAAAAAAAAGGAATTTGGGTCCAAAAATGGGAATTTGGGGGCTCAGGTGGGAAGATTGGACCCAAAAAGGAGAATTTGGGACTCAAAAAGGAGAATTTGGGTCAAAGAAGGGAAAGTTTTAGCTCAAAAATGGAGAAATTGGGACAAAAAAATGGGAATTTAGGTCAAGGAAGGGAAATTTTTGCCCAATAATGGGAATTTGGGCACTCAGGTGGGAATATTGGACCCAAACCCAGGAATTTGGGGACAAAAAGGGAGAATTTGGGCACTCAGGTGGAAGTTTGGCCCCAAAAAGTGGAATTTGTGTCCAAAAAGTGGAATTTGTGTCCAAAAAAGGGAGATTTGTGCCAAAAAGGGGGATTTGGGACCAAAAAGGAGAATTTTGGTGCAGAAATGGGAAGTTTGGGCTCAAAAAGGGAGAATTTCGGACCAAAAAAGAGAAATTTGTGTCAAGGAAGGGAAAGTTTGGGCTGAAAAAGGGGAATTTGGGTCCAAAAAAGGGAATTTGGGTGCTCAGATGGGAAGATTGGAACCAAAAAGGAGAATTTGGGACTAAAAAAGGAGAATTTGGACAAAAAAAGGGGAATTTGGGTCCAAAAAGGGAGAATTGGGACCCAAAAAAGGGGAATTTGGACGCTCAGGTTGGAAGTTTGGACCCAAAAATGCGGAATTTGGGCCCAGGAAAAAAAGACTTCGGACCAAAAAATGGAAATTTGTTCCCACAAAAGGAGAATTTGGGAGAAAAAAATGGTAATTTGGGCACTCAGGTGGGAAGTTTGGACCCAGACCTGGGAATTTGGGTGCAAAAATGGAGAATTGGGGCCCAAAAAATGGGAATTTGGGTGCTCAGATGGGAAGACTGGACCTGGAAATGGAAATTTGGGCCCAGAAAAAAAAAGAATTTAGACCAAAAATTGGAATATTGTGCCTAAAAAGGGGAATTTGGGTCCAAAAAGGAGAATTTGGGCCTAAAAAATGGGAATTTGGGTGCTCAGATGGGAAGATTGGACCCAAAAAGGAGAATTTGGGAGTGAAAAAGGAGAATCTGGGTCAAGGAAGGGAAAGTTTGGGCTCAAAAAGGGGAATTTAAGGCAAGAAAGGAGAATTTGGGAACAAAAAAGCGAAATTTGGGTGCTCAAGTGGGAAGATTGGGTCCAAAAAGGAGAATTTGGGAGTAAAAAAGGGGAATTTTTGCCCAAAAAATGGGAATTTGGTTCCAAAAAGGGAAGGTTTGGGCCCAATAAACAGAAAATTTAGTCCAAAAAGGAGAATTTGGGCCGAAAGTGGGGTTTGAGCACTAAAAGGGAAGTTTGGACCTAAAAATGAGAATTTAGATGAAGAAAAAAAGGGAGTGTGACCCTAAAAGGTCAAAGCAGGGAGGCAGGGGGGAAATTTTGGGGGAAAAATGAGATTTTGGTTCAAAAAAAGGAATTTGGGCTGAAAAATGGGAGAATTTTGGGCAAAAAAATGGGAATTTGGGGCCAAAAAAATGGGATTTGAGCACCAAAAATTCCCCAAAAAGGGAATTTGGGGCCTAAGAGGGGAATTTGAGCTCAAAAAAAAAAAGGAATTTGGGCAGCCAGTGGAGGTTTGGAAGCAAAAAGGGGAATTTGGGCACAAAAAAAGGAGAATTTGGGTCCAGAAATTGAAAATTTGGGCACAAAAAAGTGAAATTTGGGCACTCAGGTGGGAAAGTTTGGCCCCAAAAAGTGGATTTTGGGTCCAAAAATTGGAATTTGGGCCCAGGAAAAAGAATTTGGACCAAAAAATGGGAATTTGGACCAAAAAAATGGAAAGTTTGGTTTAAAAAAGGGAGAATTTGGGCCCGAAGGTGGGAAATTTGTGCCCAAAAAAGGGAGAATTTGGGCACCTAGATGAGGTTTGGACCCAAAAAGGGGAATCATTTGGGTCCAAAAGGGGAGAATTTGGGACCAAAAAGGAGAATTTTGGTGCAGAAATGGGAAGTTTGGGCTCAAAAAGGGAGAATTTCAGTCCAAAAAGGGGAATTTGGGACCAAAAAAGGGAAATTTGGGTCAAGGAAGGGAAAGTTTGGGCTGAAAAAGGGGAATTTGGGTCCAAAAAGGGAGAATTTGGGTCCAAAAAATGGGAATTTGGGTGCTCAGATGGGAAGATTTGCTGCGGTGCGTTTTGAGGTGGGGGCACCCTGGGGAGGTCCCCGGAGGGCCCCCTAGGCTGTGAGCTGGCTGGCAGCAGCAGGCAAGCAAGGAGACTCCACACGGCTTCTGAGGGTGCTGAGCAGATGAAGGTTTATTTGGGGTCCCAACCCCGGGAACAGCATTTATATATATTTTTATATATTTATAATATTTATATAATTTATAATTTATTATATATTAAAATTATATACTAAAACTATACTAAAAATAGAAAGAAAAAGATCCTTCAGGAGCTCGAAAGGACAAGAGTGGATTGATAACAAAAACTCGTGACTCTCAGAAAATCTGACACAGCCGGATCTATTAATTAGCCAATTAATTATTATTAATTATTTATTATTAACCAACTCACGCTGACCAATCACAGCTTCACCCGTTGGTAATCAATGCCCACACCCAGCAGGGAATTAATTGTTTACATTTCTTTTCTCAGCCTCCTCAGCTAGGAGAAAAATCCCAGCAAAGGATTTTAATGAAAATATCACGGTGGTGAAGAACTTTGTTGTGTGCTGGAAAATGAGATTATGAATGTAAAATAAAGCTTTATTATTATTGATTATTGATTATTGATTATAATGTAAAAGAAAGCCAATATTTTACCAATATTACAATTACCTTGGCTTGTCTGCTCCCTGCTGCTTGTTATGAATAATTCGTGCTGGAAAAGTGAAATTATTAATGTAAAATAAAGCTTTATTATTATTTACATTACACACATTTTAAATATTATTATTTAAATATTTTTATTTACATTATTTATGTAATATGTAAATATATACATATTTATTTATATTGATATTATATATAAAATAATATACGTACATATTATTTTATGTATATTAAAATTATATTCACATATTTTATGCATATACACATATTTTATGTATATTTATATTATATATGAAATAATATACATACATATTATTTTATGTATATTAAAATTATATTCACATATTTTATGCATATACACATATTTTATGTATATTTATATTATATATAAATATACATAAAAGATCATGTATATTATGTATTATGTAATATGTAAATATTTTTATTTACATTATTTACATTATGTATCTTTTACATTATCTATTATAATTTTTATAATAATTTATTATCATTTCTATAATTTATGAAATTATAAATAAATAAATAAATTAGAAAACATATCATTTATAATTGTTATAATTTTTATAATTTATAAAATTATAAATAAATAAATAAACATATAATTCATAGTTATTATAATTTTTATAATTTTAATATTTTATTATAATATTTATAAATTATCTCCCTGTAAGCCTATAGGTCACTTTCCCGTGACCTTGATGAGCCTACCTGAGCTATCCTGGCCACGGCGGCTGGATCTGCCGTGGTAGATGCACATCCATTCCCAGACAAATCCTGGTCACGGCAATAGATGCACATCCATTCCTGGACGAATCCTGGCCACGGCGACAGATGCACATCCATTCCCGGACGAATCCTGGCCACGGCAGCCGGAAACTGCTGCGATAGATGCACATCCATTCCCGGATGTATCCTGGCCACAGCGGCTGGAAACTGCCACGTAGACGCACATCCATTCCTGGACAAATCCTGGCCACGGCGATAGATGCACATCCATTCCCGGACGAATCCTGGCCATGGCGGCTGGAACCTGCCACGACAGATGCACATCCATTCCCGGATGAATCCTGGCCATGGCGGCCGGAAACTGCCGCGATAGATGTGCATCCATTCCCGGGATGAATCCTGGCCACAGCGGTCAGAAACTGCCGCGAGAGATGCACATCCATTCCCGGAGGAATCCTGGCCATGGCGGCTGGAAACTGCCGCAATAGATGCACATCCATTCCCGGAGGAATCCTGGCCACGGCGGCCGGAACCTGCCGTGATAGATGCACATCCATTCCCGGATGAGGCTTTGTCCAGAGAACGGACATTGCATGGATATGAAGAACTCCAGGAGGGGAAAAGGAACTCCGCCGCGGGCAAGAAAAAGAG